TTCAAGTTTTGTGCAAAAACGCATGATCGCTCCGGCTCGCCTGGTGCGTTCCAGCCTACGTTCACTATCTGGGGCTTCTCTCATCCGTATAATCTCAAATAGTCGTTTGGGCGAATTTCCTGATGTTTTTCCAACATTGCGTGGGTACCATTCAATAACTCGCTCAATTGCGCCTAGCATTATAAAATGGCTTAAAAGAATATGCGGATCAACTGAAGAGAATATTTAGCAGACATAAAAAAAAATTTTGGCGAACGTGCAAGTTAACCCACACCAGAAGAACTTGTTTCAGGGCTTACGACGGTAGCATTGATCATGGATTACGCATACAACAGGTCACGTGAAAAGCATACTCGTCGAGATAAGCCAGATGAATACAGTCAGAACAAGAAAATGCTTTAGTAGGTCATTCTCAATTAATTTATAATTAAAAAACTATAAAAAGTAAAAGTAGCTTGGACAAAAATTCAGTTTCGGACCTGTTTTCAAGTTTTGTATTTATTGAGTGCTCATGTATTCTAATAATTTTGGCATTAAAAAATTGTCAGTACCTTTTTTTAAAAGAATTAGGGTAGTTTTGAAAAATTTTCATAAAGTTGCAGCACTTTTTTTTTGCTTTTTTGTGGAGCTCCTAGCGAAATACTTTTATTTTACAAACAATACGATAGATGTTTTAAAAATAAAAAAAAGAAAACTAACAGAATTTCAATCGCTATTTTTAAATTATTGCCACTTTTATTACCGTTATTTTTATTTATTATTGATTGAAGGCTAAGGCAGAAAATGATGAAATGGAAAAAGAAGGGAAGGAAAACGAAGTGCAAAAAAGGGGAATGGGAGTATTGAAATATTTGTAGTTGGTAAGAAATGTTTCGGTCCATTAAGTCGTATACATTTCTTACCGTTACCACAAGTTGTATACATTTTTTACCGTTACTGATTACTATCAAAAAACAGATTTGTTGAGAAACATTCCTTTAACTCAGAAGCGTGGGATCTCCACGCCGATTGTTCGGATAGACTTGTTATTCCTGTTATACAAAATTTATAATTTTTCTGGTTTTACAGTTATTTTTACTCATTATTTTGCTAATTTTTTTGAATATCATTGTTACGCTTTATTTATTATTGTACTACACTGCAATTTTGTGTGGAAATGGAAGATTTGGTATATCAAGCCAGGCAGCAACGCCTCCAGTTTCACTCTTCATAATAAGCTAAGGCGCTTAGAAGTATCATACATCGATTGACTCACACGTTTCCCGAAGAGGGAGGGAAATTACTCACCAATTACTTTTTTTAAATTAGCAACTCAAAATAGATTTATTTGAATCAATTTACTGTGTATGTTTCAGTTATTGCGTGACCTATCAGCTCGGTTGGGTAAATCAGAACTGCATCGATCCGAAGATCACTGCTAAGCTGTACAGGAGCAACAGCATCTGCGCGGAATGCCAACCAGAAGCTCGGACACATCGGCCTACGGCAACGTATGTGTACTGGACAGATCAAAAATATAATCCAGAAAAACTGGGTGATCCAAGAAAAGGATGGAGGAGTTACCTCCTTTCCACTAAATAATTTAGACTTCGAATATGGCTAGTCGAAATTATCAAAGTAGTTAAAAATTATAAAAAAAGCAGGAAGGCGGAATTTTGCCAACAATGAATAGAAAAATTACTCGTAAGATGTTAAATGAAATTCGTAATCTAAACAGTACAGGCCAAATATGTCAAATCTGAACGATTTTTCGGCTGATAAATTGTGCTTATTATATAAAGTTTCTCTGAGCCGGACGTAAAGATCTCTTGAATTTCCATTTCAGCTGTGCCTCGGAACTGAAGGACGGAGAAACCGGTTTCTGGAAATTAATTGGACCAAAATCCTGTAATGGCATCTGGAAAAGGATATCCAGGACCGATCACTGTCGATGCGAAGTGAACTTCCCGAAGCAGGATGCATTTTTGCTTGTTTGAGAGAAATCTCCTAACACCCCAGTATCACTTAAGGGCATCCTGCATGCGAAACCCAGGCTGAAACGTACCAGGCTTGCCGTTGCGATCATGCATTTTTGCGCTGGACTTGAGGCAAACAGGTCGTTAACTATAAGAATGGTTGTTGCTTTACACTTGTTCCTACAATTTCAGAGGTACACTGTCACTACATAAAAATTTTTCAGTGGGTGTCGCCGTTCGGCTACGCCAATAAAAAACTCATGAAAGCGTTAACAGACACCATAATTTACAATTTAGAATGTTTTGTTGAGCTGCAGCAGAAGCCAAAATTCGCAAAGGAATCGCTCGTGTTCTGTGTGCGTCGCGAAAATCGCAAAGTGTTTCCCTACCTGTGCGTAGTCGCGCGGTAGATCTCGAGCCTAGGCAACCGTAGCCGGAATTTTAAAAAACATGGGCGGCCCATTAAGTCTGGATTCACCATGGAGATTTACGTATTATCGCGAAAATAGGCTGCAAAATGGGCCACTGGAAATGTTGTCTTGGAGAGAAAGCGTTGTGCAGACGTCAGCAACCCAAGCTGTGAAGCCGCCGGTGATGCCATGAAATTCTCTAAAATTCCAGCAAAGAGTTCTCACGTGCCGCACGTGAGAATCACGCACACCTGGGAGCTGAATTTGAAATCTTTAAGTTGTACTTGGACGAGGAACATCCTCCTAAAATTTCAGTTGGCTAGATATTCTGGTTTCCTGGTTAGCAATTTTCCCCTCGAAACTCACGTATCCATACGAGGGACTCAAATTTGCATGGGGATTGTGTCGCGACCTTGGGGCGGCACTTAGCTGGAGAATCCAGTTGCAAAATTTCATTGCTAAAGCTTACTTTGTTGCCGAGCTGAGATATCCGAACAGGCGCGCAATACACACACACACACACACCACTGATCATCACAACATGCGTTTTTGCACTTGCATATATGCAAAAATGCATAAAAAGGGAGTTAATTTTTTATGCGTTTTCGCTGTGCAGCGCTATAGCAACGCTATACCGCTGCTACAGCCAGCAAAAACGCATATTGTCGAGAGGCTA